ACTTAACGATTGTGTTCTTATCTTACCAACTGCAGTGATTCACTTAATTGTGGCAAAAAAGATTGTAAAATGAGACAAAACTCACTGTCTTGCTTACCAAAAGAAATTTTTGGGCAATTTGTGGTTGTAAGTTGAAGATTATCTTTTTCTTTTTATTAAATATCAAACTCCTGAGGAAGACAAGACCACTCCAAACTCTCCCTGGACCTTTGACTGTGACCTCCATGGTCAAGGAAGTTCCCAACCATGGGAGATGGTTTGGAGCAGCCATGTGGGGCCTTCATCTGTGTCACAGACCTGTGCTGGGGCTCTGATGTGTCTTACAACCATTTTGGGGAAAGGCAGTTTTCTGGCCTTAAAGATATTGTAAGTTTAAGTTAATTGGCAAGAGACGTTGGTGAAGGGAATGTGCTCATCATTAATCATCTGGGGTGAACTCTTCTCATCTGTCCACCTTTAGAAAAATGGCTGACTGTTCAAAGAGATGCTAGGCATCTGCCAAACTCCATGCACCATAACTCTCCCGCTCCCACCAGCCCCAGCCAGCGTGGCTGGTGGGGAAGAGAGTGGGAGTTGCAGCCCTTCAAATTTTCCTGGGTCACAGACTATCTGCCTTTGCTCGCTCTCCCCCCCCCCGCCACTTCCTTGTGAGTGCCTGTATGCACTTGTACACTATTCCATGTGGCTACCTGCGTGCTGCGCTACTGGCAAGGAATGTGTGTGTGGTTGCAAGGGGAACGTTTTGGAGCTTGCCTCAGCATTTGAGGGACTTGGTTGCATTTCAAAGTCTGGATTTTTCTATGCTTGAGTGTTCACAGAAGCTTTTGTAGTCGAGGTATGATTGATGCCTCCACGGCCTCCTTCTCATCCCCCTCCCCAATATGCACCGCTATTTCAGCTACCACCTGGGGCCACTCCCTGCCCCCCTTCTCCAAGCCTGGGGGGGATTCCAAGCCCCCTTCAAAGGGGGCAGGTTTCTGCAGGCCCCAAGATCTTAGCTGGCTTCTTCTCCTCCCTGCACGGAAACCCCCTCAACCAGCAAGGGGAGCTGCCAAGAGACACCAAAGCAAGCCACATCACACCTAATCCCCCCCTTGATCCCCACAAAATTGTTTCCCTCTGCCCCCTCCCCCTTGATAGCTTTGAACCTGAAAGAAAAAGGCAGATGAAAAGGAGGAGAAGAAAAAAGGTGTGGTGTTCTGGGACTGATAAGCCACAATGCCAATCCACAAGAACCCGTTCTGACACTGTTTTGTCCCTTCCACCCACTGTTTGTTAATCCTGGCATCCTTCTCTGCCATCTCATTGTTCCTCTACTCTTAGCCTCCCTAGGAAACCACATCTGGAACAATGCCCTTCCATCTCTGCACATCTATGTTACCAGCAGTGGTGGGATTCAAGTAATTTAACAACCGGTTCTCTGCCTTAATGATTTCTTCCAACAATCAGTTTGCCAAACTGCTCAGAAAGTTAACAACTGGTTCTCCCGAAGTGGTGCGAACCGTCTGAATCCCACCACTGCTTACCAGACATTGACCTAATTTTATGTAGGTTGGAGTCGTTATTGGTCCCCTGAAATGTGGAAAGGTCACTAGTAGAACCTATTTGAGAAACAGAGTAGAACAAAAGACCTCTATCGCACAGTGTAGCACCCTCAGAGAGTTAACGCTCTCAGGCAATGTTAAGATTTGTGGACTTCAACTCCCAGAATTCTGAGAGTTGAAGTCCACATGTCTTAAAATTGTTAAAGTTGAGAAAACTGCTCTAAGGCAATTTTTGGCATTGGTCCACACATCTTAAAATTTCTGAGGTTGAGAAACTCTGCTGTAAGACACAATTTTTTTGTTGTGGCGTCTGCCCTGTGGAACATCAATCCCCCCCACCTCCCCAGAGATTAGATTAGCCACAATCTTGCTACCTTTCAAAAGATCCTGAAAACACTGTTTGGCTAACAGGCAGGGGGACCAGGGAACATCACATAGCCAGCACAGTGACTGTGCTGAATACCTCAGCTATGGGTTTTTATCTACAATAACCCTGTGAGAGCAATTAGGCTGATGGTTGTAAGGGTTTTTGGGGAAAGGCATTGTTTACATAGTCTTCCACTTGCAACTGGTCGCTTATTGACTGTTCAAAAGTTACAACGGACCCTTCCAAAGCTGCTAACTGAGTGGTTTCGAAGTTCTGATGTTGGGTGGGCTACTTTGAGTCAATTTGGCTCTTGTGACCTTCCCAACAATAATCCTGGGAAGTTCAAAAGTGTTTTTAATTTGAACAAATTGTGTTATGGTTCCTAAGAATCTTTGAAGGAAATCCACAGTAGCTAAACTAGTTTCTTAAAGCAATTGAATATTGCAGTGTCAACTTTCTTCAACCCAGGGATGGTCGGACTTAGGTTTTCTGGGTTGACTGTCTTTGCTAGAACCTCCAAATCTATCTACCAGGAGGGTAGGTGATAAACAGTGGCTCAGGAGATGAATCGGAATCGGGGTGGGGGAATTAAGAAGCAGAAGTATCTCTGAATGTAATTTTTAGTGTTCAAATGACAGTCCTTTCGCATGAAACCCTAATTCTGATTTTTTTTTGTTTCATTTTCTTACATCTCAGCAACATTGTTCTGAGGGGGAAGAGAATTTGATCTTGTTGATTTTGTTAAATAACTGGGAGTCAGAAATGCATTTTGATCAACTGAGAATTAATTAGAGAATGATTTAGGTGGAGATGAAAGGAGACAAATCTGTTGCACCTGGAGGGAGAGGCCATTTTGGGGAGAACTGCTCTAACCATTAACCAAGCACAGACTCATCTCTTCCACCTTGAGTGTCTTAATTTTTTTTTTCAAGATTATTGCAAAGAGATGAAGCTGGGTACCGTACAAATTCACCCTAGGTTCATACCTGGAATCTCTTTTTATAGTCAAAATATTTCATTTAATAATATGCATCAGCCTAGTGAATTAGATGACATATACATCACTATAATAAAAAAAGAAAAGCATTTGAATATGAACAGACAGCATTTCTACTTGAATTAATAACCAGTGAGATCAGGCTTTTACTGTGAATTTCTAGCAAGTACTGAACCATGGAAACACTGTGTAGAAAATCCTCTTAGATAGCCCCTAAGCCGGGGTGAAATCCAGCAGGTAGGTTCTGGAGAACCGGTAGCGGAAATTTTCAGCAGTTTGGAGAACTGGCAAATACCACCTCTGGCTGGCCCCAGAGTGAGGTGGGAATGGAGATTTTACAGTATCATTTCCCTGGAGTGGGGTGGGAATGGAGATTTTGCAGTATCCTTCCCCTGGAGTGGGGTGGGAATGGAGATTTTGCAGTATTGTTTCCCTGGAGTGGGGTGGGAATGGAGATTTTGCAGTATCATTTCCCTGGAGTGGGGTGGGAATGGAGATTTTGCAGTATCCTTCCCCTGGAGTGAGGTGGGAATGGAGATTTTGCGGTATCCTTCCCCTGGAGTGGAGTGGGAATGGAGATTTTGCAGTATTGTTTCGCTGGAGTGGGGTAGGAATGGAAATTTTGCAGTATTGTTTCCCTGGAGTGGGGTGGAATGGAGATTTTGCAGTATCCTTCCCATGGTACGCCCACCAAGCCACACCATGCCCACCAAGCCACGCCCACAGAACTGGTAGTAAAAAAAATTGGATTTCACCACTGCCCTAAACTTAGCTCTTTCTGCCTTTCAAAGTAGGGTCCAAAACAACCTTTAGGCCATGTAAAATCAGAGAAGCAGTTTCTCTAGTTTTTTGTGACATTGATTTGAAACCACTAGGTAAGATTTGGAGTGTCGTCAACATATCGATCACGCTGAGGAAATAGTTGATACCTTGGACTGTCACTTGGGCTGGCTTAGTTTTGGGCTGAACGAGTGCGAACAAGCAGAGCCAATTTGGAGCTGCTATTGATGAAGAGATAGCTTGGTCCAGGTTTAGATTTCAAATTGTTCTAGAAGTGTTACAGGTTTCTTGGAAATGCTTGTTTGCTCCACTTGACTTCCAGACTTTGAGTGGCAGCAAAAGGGAATGTTCCACAATTAAGTTCATCAGCTTTCTTTCAACATTTCTCCATACTTTAGCCACCATGACTGGACTACTGCAGTGAGTTATACGTAGGGCTACCTTGAAGAGTTTCCAGAAGGTTCTATTGGTGTGAAAAGTTGCAGTTAGGAGTATTGATTTGGGCAGGGTACCTCAATTATATTCTTGTCACTGAAATATCTCTGCTAGGCACCATTGCTTTTCCAATGCTTTTCCAGTTTAATTTATTAACCTGTAAAAGCTTCTATGGTTGATCCTGGCTATCTGACTGATTGCCCATATTCTATGACCTTATCTGTTATTCGCTCCAGTAGACAATTTTGTTTTCTAGTTGCCCACTGACCCAGCTTATGAGAAATGGCATTCTGGCAGATGAATGCATATCCATCCACCCGCTTTGCTTCTGGGAGGATTGCCAGAGCTTTTTTTTAAATTACGTTTTTTTTTTTAATGCGGGTCTGTGTTTGTTAAAAGGGCTGATTCATTGATTCTGTTGTCTAATGAACTATTCTGTAGTATTCGTGGTGTTGTTTTTGTTTTTACTAGGTGATCGCTCAGTATCTCATCTGTGATCTTCATCTGGACAGCTTTCTCTTGCTGACGCAGGGCGGGCGTTGAACAAAAGCTGCCGGGCGGGGTGCAATCCACAGCTCCCGTCCTGGCTATCCAGCAACTTCCATCGCCCCACGCCCGCGTCCCCAAAACTCCCGTTTTCTCGTTACAAACCGCCTCCTCCTTCCTTGGCTCCGCCCCGTCTCGGATTTCAAGGCTGCGCGCAACGCTGAGAAAAGGCAGCGACTCGCTTGCAAAGCCGTCGCCGCCGAAGAGCCGCTTCTTCCACCCCTCCCTAGGCCCACCCTCTCCGGGATGGGACGTCCCAGGGGCGGCCGCCGGCCAGGGCGGGGAGATCTGCAGGGAGTGGGGTGGGGATGGCGGTGGAGCCGCCTTCCCTTCTGCCTCCGGCTGCCAGGGGAGCGGGCTGGGGGAACGGAGCGCGGCGGCAGCGATAGCGGCAGCTGCAGCACCAGAGAACAGAGCCGTCTGGCCAAGCGTCGTCGAGCCGGGGCGCGCGGCTGCGACAGGTGGTCGTCTTGCTTTAGGACGGCTACTAAAGGACCCGACTTCTCCGTCATCCAGCCAAGAGGTCTACAACTCGGGCTGCCTGAGCTGCATCACCCGACCGATGTAAACAAGCGCCACGGTTCCTCTCTCCTCGCTTTTGGTCCTTCGGGGATCGGCCGGCTCCGCAGGCGGCTGGGGCTGGCAGGATTGCTCTGGACGCCACCGTCCAGTAGACGCCGAGCGAGATTCCTCGAGGGATAGAAGAAATACACCTGAGGATGACACCTGGCGGGAACTGGGCTTGACCGATCTGAAGACGGAAGGATCCGGAGATATCCGGATTTATTCCAGCAGCGAGAGGGGAGCAGAAGGGATTGGTCGGAAGCCAAGAGAGGCGGGGAAAGGAGGCGGAGAGACAGAGACCGGGAACGATCCCTAAGCATCCCGCTTCTGGCAGGAGACCCAGCCGATTCGAGATCTGAAGTTTGGGAGCGAAGCCGAGAAGGGCGAGGCGCAATCCCGTCTCCGAGGCGCGTCTTCAATCCCGCCGCCAGGATGATCTCCGACCCGGAGAAATCCCAAATGTCTCCGGGAAGACAAGCCTAATCTGTGGCTGCGTTGGGAGGGCGCCTTATAGGCTCCTGACTCCCGAGTAAAGACTCCAGGTGCGTCGACTGCCGCTCCTACAAATCGGGAGAAGGCAGCCTCCGACGCTCTAGAAACCCAGAGGAGGAGCATAGTTCCAACGACAAAACCACCCTGGACAGCGAAACCAGGTCCCCGGGACCATGGCAAACGGAGACCTTGCCCATTGATCCAGCTTGATCCCTCCTCTCTTGGCCGGCACCGTGACATTTCAGAGAGGGTTTGCAGCTCCAATTGCCAGCTCTAGCTGTCAGTTGGGACCCTGGCAGTTCCCACACCCTCCAGCTGTGGGGCAGCCTTGATGCCCAGAGCAGGGGTGACACAGTCCAGAGATGCCCTGGGAAGTCGTTGGTTTCCTCCTGGTGCTCTTTCAACGGTCCTGGACTCTGCAGAAAGCAGGTAAGTGAACTGGGAGAACAAGGTTGTGAATGGGGTCTATAAGACCCAGGACTTAAAACCTGGGAGGTGGGACAAAGAGTCTGTATTGGCCGGTGATGAGGAGCACACATCCTAACTTGGCCATCTCTGCTTTCCTGAACCAGTGTTACCCAGGCAATTCAGACTACAATGCCCATCATCCCCAATCGCAGTGGCCATCACCTATTTGGACCCTTTCTATGCACTCCTAGCAGCATCATAAGAGTTCTAGATCACACAATTGAGTACTAAGTTTGATGGAGAGCTGAGCAAACACGCCCTCCATCTCACATGCAGGCAGTATTCACACATCATCATATCAATTAAAGATCTACCAGCAGCATTTGCAAAAATGCTTAGCTGGTTTAGTTTTGAGCTTGGTTTGTCTGTTCATGGGTTGTGGGAACGTTGCTGTGCTAATACAGTACAAGCCAGTGGTGGGATTCAAATAATTTAACAACAGGTTCTCTGCCCTAATGATTTCTTCTAACAACCAGTTCACCAAACTGCTCAGAAAGTTAACAACCTGTTCTCCCGAAGTGGTGCGAACTGGCTGAATTCCACCATTGGTACAAACCCCCAAAATGGGATCATTCCAGAACCAAGTTATTGTGTGAGCATGCATCTATTTATTCCACGTGTGCCTGTGGAGGTTGTTGTGAGAGTGTTAGCCACACAAGATTGTTGAGATGCAGAAAGTGGCAGCTGGAAACACAGCCATAGCCGTCAGCATGGACACGGCAGAGATTGGGAAGAGAAGAAGGAGAGCCACTTGGTAGACTTTTCCTCTGTCTTTGGCCTGGGAGGACCCTCCTGCCTCTTTCACTTGGTGACTCTGCTTGGCCCGAGGAGCCCTCGGCCTCAGAAGCACCCTGGCTAGACCACCTGTCCTGCCCGACTGCAGACAGATGAGCCTCGCCAATTTCTCCCTCACCCTGGCAGACCAGACAGCTGCTGGACCACAAACGGCAGCTCGGAAGGTGGTGGGATGGGAGGAGAATACCCTGGCAGAGATCCTGCCCTCTCCCCCGCCCCCGAAGCCCTTCTGAACTGAAGCATCCTCTACCCCTCCAGATGTGCTTGACTGGAGTCCAAGATACCTGTTGAAATGGGAATCCCAAGTGCCTGGAGAAGGTTGGGCTAGACTATTATTGAGAAAAGACTGTGATGGCAGGAGGGGATGAGCCTCACCTACAGCCCCAAAACATTCCTATGCCACTATAATGATAGCAGCTTCAGCGACGGTTTTCCCAGTTCTTCCTTTTTCTCCTCTCCAAACAAGCTGACCCCTCATTCAGTTATTTGCAAAGATGGTTATTTGAGATACGGCAAAGCTTGGGGGGCTGGCTGTAAGAGTAGCAATGGGAATTGTTTGCTGTCGATTGAACTGGGTGTTACTAAGGTTTCTTCAGCAAGGAGAAATTGGGGAGCTTGTGATCTTGATGAGACATCAGGCTTTTGTTTCCAGCACTCACAGCACTGGATGAAGAATGAAGGGACAGGAGGCTGCCCCAAAGGGGCTGTAAGAAAGGAAAACTGGAGAGAGACGGAGAAGAACCAAAGTACAGGGATGGGAAAACAGCTCCATGTTATTAGCTTTAGTCCGGACTGCTTTACACAGGCTGGTGCCTTTTGGGATATGTTGTATTACAGCTCCCATTAGTCTCAAGCAATTGACATACCGGCTTGGGATGATGGGATTTGTAGTTTTAAACCCTCAGGAAAAACTCCAGATTGGGGAAAGCTGGAATTGGATGCAAGGAACTGTAGAGAGTTCCAGTGGTATAGTGGATTAATTAAAGTAATTAAATGGGAGGAAGAGCCTAGTGAAAGGTGTGTTTGTATCCATCATCACTAGAGTCAGTTTGGTGTAGTGGTTAAGGCTCCAGGCTAGAAACCAGGAGATTGAACTGGGTGCCTTCTGCCACTCTCTCTCAGCCCAGCCCACTTCAGGTTGCTGTTGTTGTAGTTGTTTTGGAGAAAATAGGAGAAGGAAGGAGTATTTGGTATGTTCCCCATCTTGAGTTATTTACAAAAATTATACAGGCAGGATGTAAATAAATAAAACAAAATAACTACCACTGTGCCATTTAAGTGGGAAATCTGACCTTGATATTGAAAGGACCTAACCAGGATTGTGATTCCCCCCCCCCTGTACATATTCAGCGGTGTTCTTGCACACATTCCAGAGTGAACTTCTCTTTGGGAAGGGATTGTGGCAGCATGCTAAAGTACCTGCTTGGCATGCTAGAGGCTGGATTCCATTGGAAAAATCCAATTATAGCAGGTGAAGGAAAGCATCTCTATTTTATCCTCCAGAGATGGCCTTCTGGCAGAGCAGGCTACCCCAGCCTCAGAGGACCAGTTCATCTCCACATGAGACGGCTTCATATATTCACAACCCAGCCAATATAGATACGTTCTGGGCTGAAGACCAAATAACAAATGCTGTCCAGGTATGCAGGAAGAAGACGTTTCTATTCCACACCTCCTTTCATTATATCTCCCAGGGAGAGGGAAAGATGTCTGGCTACTTTCCCAGCCAGGCAAGGACTTATATCATGGAGCTGGATATTAATCCTTGAGATCTGACAGTTACTAGGGCTGCCAATATTCTCCCCCTTTCCCCTCCCTCCCCAAACATACCTTGGCTGTCCTTCAGTGCCTTTAATGTAATACTTTCCTGAAGTCATCCTACATCTCTATTTATTCTTCTGTTTGGGGACTCTTTGTTCTCTTTCTCTTTCATGGACAAGTGGTGTGGAAACTCTTGGGTGGTATGATTGATCCATGCGTGGGTGTGCTTGGTAGGTGCCATTATTCGGAGAGATTCAGAATAGGGCTTCTAAGATGGTTGAGGAATGGAAGACTCATCCAAGAAAATGAACAACTCTTCCGTTTTTCTTCTTCCCATTTTGGGCCTCCTTCAGAGTGGTTAGATATCACTTGGATAGGGAAACATGTGTCTTGAGAAGCACAAAAACAGCCAAAGAGAGATGCCAAAATCAGAACAGCAGTGGAAAGAATGGTGGGGTGACACAAAGAAGAGAAGTGAGATTCAGTCTTCCAGTTTTACAAACCCTACTCACTGGCTCCACCCACTGTTTGTTTTGGGCTCCACCCACTCTTCTTTGGGCCCTCGCCACAAACCCACTTTTATTTTGCCCTCCCCTCACATCACCATCAATATTTCTTCACCCATTAGTTCAGTTTAGCATGTCATGTGAATGCAGCTACCACAGCTTTTTTGTTGACTTGATTAAATCTGGAGCATATCCACTAAATGGCTTGGGAATATCCATTCATTCTTTTTGAGCTTCTCTTAATCTGTTTTTAAAAGAAAATGATGGGGAGTAAAGACATCTTGTTGGGGCTTCTTTTTTTTTTTTTTTGGAGGGGGCCACATTTAATTTACCCAGAATTCATCTGTGGGAGAAAGAAGGTTTTACCTATCATGTGATCCAACTCTTCCTGAAACCTCCTCTGCTGTTTATGCTCTTTTACGTTGACATGTTCAGGGTAAAACAGCAATTCAGCAGATGAAATCTGAATACCTGCACTGAAGCTGTGGTGGATCATGTAAGATTCACCTGTTGAACCTTTGCCCTTTGGTGCAGTTAGCAAAGGTGGAGTTATTAGTGTTGACAACTCTGATGGTTGCAGATCATGAAATACTCCATTTTCTCTTTGTTGTTTTGCTTGAATCAATTATAATTTCTTTCTATTTCTTTTGTAACAGGAAATGCCAGTTAGTCAAAGTAGCTTCTTTCTGTTTTTCTACGTTCTGAACAACAAGAGCAGAAAAAGCCAGTTTTAAAGCTTCGGGCTCCATAAGGGGGCACTGTGGTCACAGAGGCAGTTAGACCCGTTTGCTTCCTTTTGTTCCAGACAATTTTCAGAATGTCCCTACGCTATTTTGATTTTTTTTTTTTTTAATCTCCTGAGTACGATCTTTAATAATGCCTCTGCAATTCTCACTGCCCCTGAAAATATAGTTGCCTTAATTACCTGCTGAATTTCATTTTAGAAACCTGTTTAAAGATGAGACTCAGGAAGAGAGACACAAAAGAAAACTATAAGGCAATTTTCCAGTTTTGTGGAATGCGGAGTAGTTAAGAGTGCAGAACGCAGAGGCGTGACCTTAATACATAATCCATGCTCCAAAATTAAAGAGTTATCTGAATTAGCGGCATTGTCACATCTTGCCATAGGAATACCCAGTCATTTCATTATGCTGGTGTGTGGATTTTGGCTAAGCCAGGATTTATTAATTTATGAGCAAGAACTCCTGCCAAAAGGCTTAAGCCAAAGGGCTTGTATCAAAAGCACACACCTTTCAGTTTCTCACAAGTAAACTAGAGGCGTTCCTATACTTGTAAAACCCATTATTCTGACGCCAGAGCTGCAGTCTACCCTTCCTTCTGATGTATGCAATAGGCTGGAGCTGTCAGTCTTTCCAAGTTCAGTTTCCTCTTCCAGTCAGCTACAAATTAGGTCTCAGCAAGGGGTTGTATGTCTTTGTTTCCACATACAAATGCACAAACATGAGGGAACGGGTAGCCCCTGCCCTGAAAATACGGTTGCTGGGAAGGCTTACTCTGAATTAGGTTTTTCAAGGAACTCTTCAACTGAAAAAAAAATGTGCACTCTGTTTAAATCAGGGGCGGACAGACTACAGTATTGCAAGCTAAATGAAGACCAGGCAGAATAGAAAATTCAGCAATGTGTAACAGATGTGTTTGAGCATCGGTTCCTGCTAGGAAAACTTGAGTTCTGTTTCTATCCCACCTTTTCTCAGAGAAGCTCAAGGCAGCAAATAGGATTCTCCTTCCTGCCGCCTCCCCCTTCCTCCCCGCCATTCCTCTGGCAGGCAAGTCAGTCAGAGAGACAGTAATTAGCACAAGGTTATTTGGTGTGCAATATAGCTGAGCATGAAAATATGCCTGGATCTCCTCTGATCAATGCATCATGCTGGCAGATTT